TCGTTCGAGCTATACGGGATGCGCTTGGATTCGGCTGAGCAGTTTCAGGTTGCGCGCCGCGCCCGCGCAGCCCTGCTCGAAACAGGAGGTGCCCTCCATCCTCGCAGCCGTTGCATCGCGCACCCCCCTCGGAGTCGAGCGCAAGTTCTTCCCGCGACGCGGCGGTGCCCCGAGATCCCGAAATCTCAGCGTCAGCGCCGCTATGGCAACTGCAGGCGCAGAAATATGACCCCGCGGGCCGCGTTTCGCGCGTCGACCGACATTCTAAACTCGCGTTGATTTCGAGATGGCTTGTAGTTGCGTCGGCGCGGGCCCAAGCAGTCATTGATGTCTCAGGCGAAAGATCTATATTAAGACGGAACCGCCATCCGCCTGCGCGCTCGCTGGCTCACGCGGGACGCATTGCGCTTCGAGAAAGTAGCGGGCGACAGCCTCATATTTGGGGGGGGGCGCCGCCCTGCGGTAGCCAAGTTGCCGCGCTCGTCCACGCCAGCGGCAATGTAGTAGGATGGGGTCTCCGGCGAAAGCCTTAGTTTGAAAACCCCCTCGCCACCGCCCGCGCAACGCTGGGGAGCGCGCCTGGTGCACCGCCGCAGCGAAGGGCGCGCTTGGAAAAAGGCCCCGCCTGTCATCCGCGCACATATCGGCAAGATCAGAGACGGTCGCGCGCGGCGCCGCGGCAAGAACCGCATTCTGAACGCGCGCGACCTCGCGTCGCCGTTGTTGTTGGGGGTGCCCATCTTGGAGGCAGCGAATGCGCCGAGCGAAGCGCCGTGGATATTCTTGCCGATCCTACGCGCGCCTTCCGCGGGCAGGCCGCGCGGCGCGCCGATTTGAAATCTCGCGCCCTGCCCCCGCCGCACACGCGCGCGGCCGCGCGCGTGCGCCAGTTCTTTCGTGGAGGGCCGCCGCTTGAGCAGTGGTTGCGCCGCGCTCTCTTCGCAGCGCGCGCCTTGCGCGACCCGATGGGCCCCCGCTCGCGTCAAATGCTCGGGCGGGTGGCCAGCGGCCCCGCCCCCCGGGAGATCTCGGGGAGTTTCGGCACAGCTTGCGGCATTGGATCCGCCTGGGATCGACCGCGCACGCGCCAGGCGAAGCCGCCGTGCTCCCGGGCCCAGCGCGGCCGCGCAGCGCAGCGCGTCTGGGGCGGCGGCCCCCCGCCACCCCGCGCGCGCGAGGCCCCATCGCGCCTTCTTCCCTCTTCTGTCCGCTGCCCCCCCTCCCCCCCCCCACTTCCCCCCCGGCTGCTCCCAGGCCGCCGCTGGCGGGGGGGGGGCGGGCTCTGCCCCCCGCCGCGCTTCGCTGTCTGCTGCGCTCCGCGCCTTTCCCCCCGAGCTGCTGGCCAGGGGGGGGTCGCGCTGGCAGCGGGGCCGGGGCGCGGTTGTCCGCGGCGGCGCCTGGGCTGTCCCGGCGGGGTCATTCCCGCGACCCTGCCCCGGGATCGCACGGGGCGGCTGCGAATTGAGGGGGGGGCGCGTTGGGGGCGCGCCGGAGGCGAGAGCTGGTTTCGCCGGCGCCGGCGCGGCCCCGCCGGTTTCGCCGACGGCTGGTTTTGCTGCCGCTGGTTTCGCCGTCGCTGGTTTTGCCGACGCCGTCGTCGTCGCGGGCGGGCGGGCCCTGGCGGGCCGGTCGGGTCGGGTCGAGCACGCGCAAACCCTTGCTGCGGGCGAGTCGGGCCGGGCGAGCGGGCCCTAGCGGGCGGCGGGTCGAGTCGGGCGGGCGCGCCCTAGCTGGCGGGTCGGGCCGGGCGGGCGGGGCAGCAAAGTGCAGGGCGCGCTTGACCGAGCGCGCACGAACATTGATGGGCGGGTTGGGTCGGGCGGGCGGGCCATAGCGGGCGGGGCCGGGCGGGTCGGGCGGGCGGGCCCTCACGGGCGGGTCGCGTCGGGCGGGCGGGCCCTAGAGGGCGGGTCGGGTCGGGTCGGGTCGGCGGTCCCTGACGGGCCGGTCGGGTCGGGCGGGCGGGAAGCAAAAGTGCGGGGCACGCTCGACCGAGCACGCGCGAACCCTGGCGGGCGGGTCGGGTCGGGTCGGGCGGGCCCTAAGGAGCTGGCGGGTCGGGTCGGGCAGTTTCGCCGACGGCAGCTGGTTTCGCCGGCGGCAGCTGGTTTCGCCTGGCGGCGAAACCTGCCAGGCGAAACCGGCCAGGCAAAACCAGCCGTCGGCGAAACCAGCGGTCGCCGCGCCCGAGCGGCGCGCGCGGCCGCGCGGTGCTCTGGACCCCGCCGCTGCGATATGAAATGACATGAAGTTTGCTAGCCCCACGGACGCGCCCGTCCCTCAGGGGGAAGTTGCCCCCATAGAGCGTTTGCAGGCTTGAACTTGCTTGCCGTCGCCAATTGTTTGGCGCCCGTGCCATTGAATTTCCTCTACATGAGGACAAGCGGGCGCAGCCCGACCGTCGCCCTGCACGCGCCTGCCCGAGGGCCGAAGCCAACCGCGACGTTCGGCACGGGCGGGCGGGCGAGAGGCCCATGCTGCCCGTTGCCCGTTTTCGCCCTCCCACTCCCCGCCCGGGCCCCCCGCCAAGGCGCGCGCGAGGGAGGTTTGGTCTCGCGTGAGCGGCGCCCCACGGGGGCGAACAGGAGCGGCGTGCGCCGATGGGCACGTCGGTCTCTGAGCGCAGTGCGCCCGCGGCCTCAGAATTGTCAGAACGCGCGGCGCGCCAAGGCGCTGTTGGTTCTTTCTTGCGCGCGTGATCGCGCCATTTTTTCTGCTTGGCTTTGCGTGGTGCGGCGCAGGCGTCTTCCATGTGACCGCGTGGAGCGCGGCGGCAGAGGCGCAGAGGGGCTTTCAGCTGTAGGCTGCAGTCCACGGAGGCTGCTGGCTGTGAGCGGCGCCCCTTCTGCCCTTCATTTAAAATATCAAAGAAGGGGCGCGAGGGCTCGGGCATTCCGCGCTTTGCCGCGCCACCGCCTACGTCGCCTGGCGGGCGCCCCGCGTTCTGGGGAGATGCTGGGCGCCCCGCGTGTGGGGGGCACGTCAAAGTCCTGCCACGTTGATGGCAGCGCCGCCTCGTGGGCACTTCGCGGGCGCTCCGCGCTTGGGAGTATGCCGCATGTTTTTGCCACGTTGCCATTGTTGCCGCCTCGTGGGCGCCCCGTGCGTCGGCTGGGTTTCTCGAGGTCGCGCCGCGGTGCCGCCCGTGGCGCCCTGCGGGTGCTTGGAGGGCGCCCCGTTCGTTGGGTGGGTTTCCGGAGATTGCGCCAGGCTGCCGCCCTGCTGCTTGGCGGGCGCATCGTCGGCGCCCCGTGCTCTGAAACTGCACGGCATAGCTTTCATGGCACAGGTTTTACAACATATAGCTGATTCCACCATCGCACAGCATAGCTTGCACAACATGGTTTGCTCCAGTGAACCGAACCTCATAGCGTCAACCTCCAGCTCGCACAGCATAGCTTACGCAACATAGTTTACACCACATAGCTTGCACTGCGCCGCGTCCACTACCATTGCTCACGCCGCAACGCTAGCACAACATTGGTCATCTGTTCAAACTTCCCCCATGTCGTGCATTATCCATAGGAGGTCATACCGTTCCAGCTAACATTGGGCATGTTCCCTTCATTTCGGCCAATGAATGCTATGTGCGCACACTCGTTTATATCAGGACAACGTGTGCCACACATTGTTTTGAAAACACCGACGTCCACGCGCGCACTTGTCGAAGTGAAACGCCTTAGTAGTGCGCGTGTTTTAGCATACAGCTTTCCAAAACGAAACTTCCTATTGTTTCTATATGTGCGTGTGCTGTCGCCATGAGAAAATAAGGTATGGTCCGCAATCTCGTCAAGAGACCGTGTTCTCATGTTTTCACTCGGTGCCTTCGCGTTGATCTAGCACGCGCCCAGTGTACGAATTCGCATCAAATCATGCCATGCGGGCCCGCGTGCTCCGCCACGCGCGCGTGTCGAAATTCTCCCACAACCAACGGTTCTCCAAGCATTTCAAGAAAGGTCTGCTCAAACCTGAACGCACATGCATCTTCAACAAAAAGTACGCCCAATCTACTGCATGTCCGCGCGCGCACTTCCCCCCCACCACCTGTATCAGCGCCACCGCATCACCGTTCATTCGTCGTGGTCAATCGTCGCCATTGTCGCCATCACCAGTTCACCACCTACACATGGACATCATCACCGACTTCGTCGTCGCCAGCCTGCGTTGTCGCCATCATCGCCACCATCATCGTTGCTGTCACCACCTAGTGCTTGCAGGGCCGCGAGGCCATTGACGCGCGGTGGGAATTTCACACTGGTGAAAGCCATGGCGGCCGCGTCGGCTGTGCCTAACCAGCTGGCCGCTCTGCGCGCGAGGTTGCGCTTGCCAGTGCGGCCGCGAAGTCGCGCCAGCTAGCGCCGAGTAGTCACCGCAAGCGCGGCCGCATTGGTTGTGCAAAACAAGTTGCGAGTGGGAATGCGATATGATTGCGCTAGCGCTGGAGCTGACGACCTCAACTTCTGCAACATAGAGTTCCCCATATAGCTTGCACCGCATAGCCCTCCCCGTCACAGTTCAACAACAGACTGTTCAAGGTCCATTTAGCTAACGTTTTAGGTTACATATTTGGGTGATGATGGCGATGACGACCATAATTCATAACATGATGTGTTTAAATGCGATGTTTAGCAAGCGGGTGTAGCAATCATATCTGAACTAGTTCGCGACCGCTTTCCTTTTCCATACTCACTCGAGTGGGTAGTAGTGGCGGTGACATTTCTAATTGTAGCAGCATTTGTGTTGGTAGTGGTGGTGGTGATTGAATGGGGAGTGACCGCGGGCTGGGCGCGGTTGACCTTCCAGGGAGTTGGACGCATCGGCCTGGCAGCTCTTCGCGCCCGCGTGGCCGGGCACAACGCTCATCCGCGCGTGCCTCCAGCAAGTGGCCTCGTCATTATCCGCGCTTGCATTCGCGCCACAATGTGTTCTTCCAGCCTGGCCTCGTGGCGCAAGCAAGCAAGCTGCGAGCAGGGCGCGAGCATCCTGCCTCGCCCCGTGGTCGCCAGCAGGGCTCGAGCTCCTCGCGCCCAGGGAGGCATCCTCGGACCCCCGACGTCATGAATGATTTTTTCAGCACGTCGACCCTGGAGGTCTCGACCCCATGCCGGGGACCGGTGTTTCATCCTGGGCCGGTTTTTGACGCTCCCGAGGCCCCGTGAGGGCCCCCACCTGCCCGAACTGGCGGAAAAACCTCCCGTCGCGATTTCTTCCTGACTCGACGGGGTTTGGGTCCCCCGCCCCGAAGGCCGCGCGCATGCCCGGCCGGGCCAGAGCTGCCGCCGCGACGGCACCGCCCCGGGCGGCGCACTAAGAGAGGCGCGGCGCCACGGCCGCGCCGCGCGGCCATGCCGCGCGGCACGAGCGCCGCGGCGGCGCTGCTCTCGCGGCCCGCGCCCGCTTGGGGTGGCGAGGCGGCGCACGAGTCGGAGGCCCGCTGCTCGGTGAGCGGGTCCTCGTTGCAAGCAGCGGCGAAGCGCCCTGGCCTGCTTGGGGGGCCACATCCGTACCCTACCCCTACCCCCCACGATTTCTGAGGGGGAGGGTGGGGTTCACTTCGCTCGAGAGCTCCCCAACGAGGTGAACCCCACCCTCCCCCTCAGAAATCGTGGGGGGTAGGGGTAGGGTTCCCATGTGGCCCCCTACCGCTGCTCGGTGAGCGGGTCCTCGTTTCAAGCAGCGGCGAAGCGCCCTGGCCCACCAAGGAATGTCCTGAGGACCTGTTTGTGGCCTGCGCGAAGTGTTCTCAGAGCCTTTCTGGCCGAGATCGTCTTGAATTAACGCACTGGGTTCGCGTTCTGAGGACATCGTTCACGTGCGGAGAACATTTTGGATGCTAACAACATGTCGTGGTAGGCCTATAGGAATGCCGGGACGGTCGGCCACTGCTCAACTTTATGCGTTTTGAGGGGCTTCTGGGGATGCCCCCAGGAGCTAGCTGGAGCGTCGGTCGGTTTCTCCACCATGTCAGAGGGGATTTCCTCGGAGGGGTCAACCAGATCTGGGCGTCCCCGACGCTGGCCACTCCAAACGCCGCCAGCTTCGAGTGTTCTCGCCACGCGCACCTAGGGTTCACTGGGCGACGGGGTAAGAGGGGTTCGACTGCGCGGACATTCGCGGTTAATTTGCCCGCGCAAGGTCGTGCGTAAAAGCGCCTTCGTTTCCGATGCAGTGTGCCGCGCTGGCGGCCCGCGTCAGCCACCGCGCAAGGTCGCTATGCCATCGCGTGTAAGACCCGTTCTGTTTCGTCGCTCAGATGTTTTCCTCTGCCTCGAGAGACTTCTAGAGACCTCTTGGGCCACTGGAGGCGCGTTTCGGGCCCCTAGCCAGGCAGGGCCGTCGCACAGGGGTCCACGCGAATGACAAATTCCATATGCGATCGGAGTAAGTCTTGCGGTTTCGTTCGCGGACGAATCGTTTCTTCGTCGCGAACAGAACGCATATTGGATTAGATGTCGATCGCGGAGTTCGCTTGCAAAAGAAGCCACAGTTTTTCTCGCGAACGGAATCCTAGATCGATTCGACAATTCTCGATCGGATTTGGCGGATCAACTCGGTGAACCGTGTTGTCTGCAAGGAAATGTGAAATTTGTCAAGGTTTTGGCGGTGTGGCGCAAACCGTTCATCAACTGTCTGCCAATGATGATGGTAATGAAGATGCACCTGTCGACCATCTGTCTACAGATATATAAAGCATCGTTCAACCGTGTGTTAATAGAAACGTGACAGGCAACCATCTGTTCAAAGATGGCCGACAGATGGTTCATATGTGGTTGGTTGGGTGGGAATTCGTTTGCGGAGAGGGCCGGAGTTTCATCTGGCGATCATGTTCGCGAATGCAGCCAGCAGGGTTTGCCGCACATGCTTCTTTTTTTTAGTCGCGCGATCCCTTGTGCGGAAAACGACCCAGGATGAGAAATCGATCCCCGGGGATGGGCCCCAGAGCTCTCGAGGCCCACAACTCCGTCGCGGTGGTGCCCTGGCATGGCCCAGGGACCTGCCCCGAGCAACTCAGGGCCGTCGCTGCGGGCCGCGGGCTCGACACAGAGTGTCAGGAGGGGAAAAAACACACAGACACAATTCATCGTCGATCCCCAGGAAAACATTGGAAAAATATGGGAAGTGGGGGGGGAAGACAAAACCCAGAAAATATGGAAAAATATTGGGAATCCTGTCATTTGTGTGTATTGATGTGAGTGTGTGTCTGTGTGTGTGAATGTGTGTGTGTGTGTGTGTGTGTGTGTGCGTGTGCGTGTGTGCGTGTGTGCGTGTGTGTGTGTGTGTGTGCGTGTGTGTGTGTGTGTGTGTGTGTGTGTGTGTGTGTGTGTGTGTGTGTGTCCCCAGGGCCCCTTGAGAGTGGCGCTTCAGGTCCCGTGGCTCCACCGTTGAAGCTGCGCCGCACTGACAACGGCGATCTCTTGATCGCCTTCTGACGCCCCCGGGGCCCGAGAGCGGCGCCCCGCGGCAGAAAGACTGAGAACCCCTTCCACCCAGATTCTGGTTCAGCCTGCTACAAGTCTGGGCTGATGGATCACAGGCCGCCTCCCACCGTGGTGTTCGAAAAGAAGCCCGCCCATCTCGAAGATGGATGAAAGCGGGGCCAAACCCCGGACCCCAATTTCAGGGTTCGCGGCGGTCGACCTGGGGGAGTGCGAGTCGCTTCGAAAACGATTCACATGCTTACAAACCGCGGCCTGCGCGCAAATCTGAACTTTGAGATCGGCGGCGCGGGGAGTGGCGTCGCTCTCTCTACCGACTTGATTGGGCTGTTGAAAACGCCGGCACCACCTCGCCTGGGGGGTCCGTCCTCGCCATTATTCCAGGCGAAGCCGGCCGCGGTTACGATCGGAGGGGCTCGATGTACACCGCGTCGCTTGGTCGGCCAAGTAACTCGGTGCGCAGACGAGACGCTCCAGCTCCCCACCATGGCCTCGAGGAAAGCCGGGCCGCCACTGCCCAAACTCCTTGGGCGATCCAGCGACGTGGTGTATACGTCGAGCATCTCATTAAGAAACCTCCCTCCTAAAAGCTGGGCCAGCGTTGCTTAGCCATCCGGAAGGCTTACCCAGTGTCTTGAGCGCGTTCGCCCCTCCAGCGTTAGAACAGAAGTTGGCCCAGGCTTGTTTCAATAAACTTCAGGGAAGCTGGCCCAGATCTCTTAAGTGGTGGGTTTCTTGATTTCATTTCCGGCCACATACGCCGAGCCCCTCCCAGATTCAGGGATCATCCGACCGGTGTTTTGTCGACCCCTGCCCCGTGGGGGAGTGTCTCGCGTCCAGGATCCGCTTTTGAGGGCCCTGGGGCCCCCGAGACCAGCCCCTGCAAATGCCGAAAAGAAGCAAAAAAACACGACGCAGAGATGCAGCCAGGGGGGGCCCAACATCTGGGCCTCCCAAATGGGGTCCGAGTACAGTCGAGCATCTGATCAAGAAGCCTCCCGCGAAAGGCTGGGCTAGCGTTTCTTAACCAACTTGCCAGATAGCTGGCCCAGTTTCTCGAGTACGTTACAACAGGCATTTGTCCAGGCCTGTTTTAGGAATTGTCCAGGAAGCTGGCACAGAATTCTAAACTGATAAGCTTATTGATCATATTGTTGCCTGTAGATGGGGTCGGAGGACTGCGCAGCATCGCCCATGCAGGGGCGATGCGGCTCGATGTGGAGATCCCGATCTTCTCCACGCCGACGGCGCCGACACATCGGCGATGCGGCGTGATCCCACGACCCCATCTACTCGGATCCGATCTGGGAGTGCCGAGGCCTCTGCAAAAAGGCACCGCCAGAAGATAGGGGAACAAGCAATGACACAAACATCAAAACTCGGAGGTCCGCGCGGATTCCTCGGATCGGCGCTGGACGCCCCCCCCTGGCGCGCGGAGCGCGCCAGGGGCGGCGCCGAGGCGCCGCCAGGCGGCAGCAGCGCCGCTCCGAGGAATCCGCGCGGACCTCCGAGTTTTTATGTTTATGTCAGTGCTCGTTCCCCTAGAAGATGATGGGCCTGCTTTCCACCACCACCATCAGTTGGAGGGGGGAAAGAGGAGGAGGACGACGAGGAGGAGGACGAGGACGAAGAGGAGGAGGTGGAGGAGGAGGAGGAGGAGGAGGAGGAGGACCCCCTCCCCCTCCAACTGATGGTGGTGGTGGTGGAAAGCAGGCCCCTCAGAAGAGGCCGCGGCCCCTCCGAGGAGCACCCCGGAGGGGCCCCCTCCCCGGAGGGGCCCCTCTGATGGCGCCGAGGCGGTCTGCTGGGCCGCGCCGCGGGCACCGCGGGGCGGCCGGGGCCCGGCGGGCGCCTCGTGCTTCCTGGGCGAGGCCTCCGCGCGGGACGATCCGGGGGGGGGGGGGGGGCGGCTTGCCCCGGATAGGCCTCCTACCCTGACACATCGATTAAGGAATTGGCCGTTTTCGGTTCGCGAGAGGGCGTCGCGGCCGTCGTTTTTGCGGATCCAGGTCCGTCGGTTTTGGACCCAGGCCGTTTCCACTAAGGGGAGGTTTATTCAAGGGAGGTTTGTCCACCGCGGAAGAGAGGGAGAGAGAGAGAGAGAGACCCAGAGGTCCAACGTGTTGAAGAAATCAGGGCGGGAGTGAGTCGCAGCTTTCGGCCTCCATAGGGGCCCTCGCCGGGTCCGGGGACCGTCAACAAAAACGACTCAGGATGAAAAGCCGGTCCTGGGGAGTGGGTCGACCGCGCATGTCGACGAGACGTAAGAGTGACCTTTCGCCGGAGTGACTTTTGGTGCGGGCCCAATGGGGCTCCCCGATCGCTGATCTCGAGGCGGCAGTGGCGTCTTGCTAGCTTGTGTTTGGCCACCCCGCGGCCCCCCAAAGCCGCGCACCAGAGGTCACTCTTACCCAGGGTCACTCTTGCGTGTAGCCGAGCATGGAACAAATCACGACATCGGGTCTCTGGGGAGCCGGGTGCTGCTCGAAGTGCCCCCCTGGCCCACGGTGCCCCCAGAAATTTTGTCCAGGGGAGGGCCCCCACGGCCTGCAGAGCACCCCCTCCCGAGGCCCCAAGGGTCCCCCCAGAGGCGCCAGACTGGAGCGAGAAGCTGGGGGGGTACCCTGGGCCAGGGGCACCTTCAGCAACCTCCGCAAGAGAGAAAGAGAGAGAGAGAGAGAGAGAGGAAGGAGGAGGAGGAGGAGGAGGAGGAGGAGGAGGAGGAGGCGGAGGCGGAGGAGGAGGAGGAGGAGGAGGAGGAGGAGGAGGAGGAGGAGGAGGAGGAGGAGGAGGGGAACCACCACCCCCCAACCCCCTCGGGACTTCGGGCCTCCGAGACGCCTCTGCCGGGCCAAGCCAGCGGGCCCAAAGTGGTCAGAGTCCGCGAGAGCCCCAAGCGGCCCCAGACACCTCACGCATGAAGATTCGCCAAAGACCATTCCCTAGAGGCTCTCCAACTGCGAAAACATAGTTGTTTCTGCTTTGTTCCCAGCGGAGCCGGGTGAAATTCCGTGTCCGCCGGTGACTGACTGACTGACTGATTGATTGACTGATTGAACGTCAGGAGGGCACTTTGAACAACACATTTCAAACCGCCCGCGGGCTCGCAAGCGCAACTGGGCGACACATTTCAACCCGCCCGCGGGCGCGCAACCGCAACCGCATTGGGCGACACATTTCAACCCGCCCGCGGGCGCGCAACCGCAACCGCACCTGGGCGACACATTTCAACCCGCCCGCGGGCGCGCAAGCGCAACTGGGCGACACATTTCAACCCGCCCGCGGGCTCGCAACCGCAACCGCAACTGGGCGACACATTTCGCCCCGCCCGCGGGCGCGCAACCGCAACCGCAACTGGGCGACACATTTCAACCCGCACGCGGGCGCGCAACCGCAACCGCACCTAGGCGACACATGTCGACCCGCCCGCAGGCGCGCAACCGCAACCACGACTGGGCGACACATTTCAACCCGCCCGCGGGCGCGCAACCGCAACCGCACGTGGGCGACACATTTCGACCCGCCCGCGGGCGAACCGCAACCGTACCTGGGCGACACATTTCAACCCGCCCGCGGGCGCGCAAGCGCAACTGGGCGACATATTTCAACCCGCCCGCGGGCGCGCAACCGCGTCTAGGCGACACATTTCAACCCGCCCGCGGGCGCGCAACCGCAACCGCAACTGGGCGACACATTTCGACCCGCCCGCGGGCGCGCAACCGCAGTGGGCGACACATTGCAACCCGCCCGCGGGCGCGCAACCGCAACCGAAACTGGGCGACACATTTCGACCCGCCCGCGGGCCCGCAACCGCAACCGCAACTGGGCGACACATTTCAACCCGCCCGCGGGCGAACCGCAACCGTACTTGGGCGACACATTTCAACCCGCACGCGGGCGCGCAAGCGCAACTGGGCGACACATGTCGACCCGCCCGCGGGCCCGCAACCGCAACCGCAACCGGGCGACACATTGCAACCCGCCCGCGGGCTCGCAACCGCAACCGCACCTGGGCGACACATTTGAACCCGCCCGCGGGCGCGCAACCGCAACCCCAACTGGGCGACACATTTCAGCTCGCCCGCGGGCGCGCAACCGCAACCCCAATTGGGCGACACATTTCAACCCGCCCGCGGGCGCGCAACTGCAACCGCACCGCTCACCTGCCTAACCTGGCGGAGGAAGGGTTGGAGGGAGGAGGGAGGGAGGGGGAAGGGAGGAGGGAGGCGGGAGGGAGGAGGAAGTAGGGGGGGAGAGAAGGTAGACGGAGGGAGGGTAGAGAGCTCACACGGACTGGGCCGGACAACTGCTGCCCCCCCCGTTCCACGCAAGTGGTTCTCCACAAGGCTCCAGACCCTGGATTCCGCATCCAAGGCCTCCACGGTCTGCTAGCGGGATGGGTGGGTTAACCGCCCCCGAGGGGGGAGACGAGGCTTTGACAGAAGCGGTCCGTTGCACCGCCTACTTTGAAGTTGGGGGGGCGATGCCACGGGCATCGATTGCGCGTTCACCCGCGCGCAAGCTGCCCGCGGAAGTAGGTGCATCGGCGCCGTCTTATTCATGCAGTCTGCCGCGTCTTATTCATGATCTGGTGCAGGAGGAGGGGGAGGAAAACGAGGAGGAGGGAAGGGAGGAGGAGGAGGAGGAGGACGAACAGGAAGAGGAGGAGGAGGAGGACCAGGATGGCCAGGAGGAGGAGGACGATGGGGAGGGGGATGCCAGGGTGGTGCTGCTTGAGAAGGTGCACGAGCAGGTGCTTGTTGAGGAGGACGGAAGAGGATGAGGTCGTGGACGTCAAGGAGGATATGGGCGTGGAGGTGGATGTCCTCCTTGCGGCCTCCGGGCGTGACCCGCGGTTCTCCGCCGGGACACTGCAGCGGGGAATCCCCATTCCTCGCTGCTGCCTCTGATTTGATATGGGGCGTCCGAGAACGCCCAACAGGCACATAGAATCAATCCCAACCTACCCAAAAGGGGTCGCACGCAGTTACATGTAGTGAACTAGGCGGCGCCAGCCCGCACCGCCTCTCCGCACTAACATGCAATCGGCTGCAAGCCAGCGTTGGCCCGTGGACCAGCGCGACGAGAAATTCGCCCGATCTTTTCGTTTGCATGAGCAGTTTTGTCCTCCACCTGTTTTTCCCCGTCCCCATATTTCCTCCGTTTCTCCTCCTCCTCCTGCGCCCCGCCGGCTTCCACCCGTCCAGGAAAGGCGTGCTGACGACAAGAGGGCGGCCCTGGAGTCCAGCTTGAAGAGCGGGAACCCTTTCATGTGCTACCCGGACCCCAGCACGAGGAAAATGGTTTTGAGCTCAGGCGATGCCAAGGGTGGTCGCCGCTAGAGTTGTCGGCAGCTCTTCCTGATGCATTCGAGGACAAAGGTCCTCATAGATGTTTCGAGGATTTTGAGCGTGTTTGGAAGGTTCAAGACATGGGTTCGTGGGGTCTCCTGGAGCACTTCTCGAGGACGTGGCGACCCCCCTTTCGCTGTACCCGGGAAGGGAAGGGGGTCCTGGTCTGCCGCCGTGTTCGGACCCCTGGGCCCCAGGGCTGTCGGCCACAGGGTTGTCAAAGATGGGGCTTGGGATGAGAGCCGACCTCCGCGGGGGAGGCCCTGGGGTCCGTCGGAGGCACTGGATGTGTACGCCACGTCGTTTGTTCGGCCACGGGGCCACCCGCTTTGGCACGAACTCTGTGCATAGACGCCCCAGTACGCCACGCAACACGAGAGGTTGGCGCGGTTGCACGCCGAGCTCCCTGGCCGACAAGGCGACGTGGTGTACACTGCGAGGCTCTCCCAGTCCAGGACCACCTTCCCTCGGCATTTTTGGATTTCCATGGCGAGGACCCCGCGATGGGGCCTGGGCCCAAGGGTGGCACGCCGTTCAGGTCACACAGGGCGTTACAAAATTGCCGCGTCGCTGACAAACGTACATGTAACGCCGTGATCATTTCCCACATGATGTCCCTTCCGTCCGTCTGCGGTGCCCTCGATCCCTTCCCTGGTACCCTGCACGACATATATAAAGATATAGAGAGATAGGTATACATACACACATATATATATATACATATGTACACGTAGAGAGAGAGAGAGAGAGAGAGAGAGAGAGAGAGAACGAGACAGAGAGACAGAGAGAGAGAGAGGGACAGAGAGAGAGAGACATATCGATTATCACGCGCACATTTCCCAGGGAGTAGAGTTCAGAGGCGATAGATTGAAGCCGTCCAGTCCGCGATTGGTTCGGCAGTTTCGCTTTAGACATCCTCATCAGTCTGAAAGCCGGGCGCACCCCTCACGCAGATCGCGACGTTACAGTCCAAGCACACGGTTTGGTTCAACCAGCTTAACAAAACATCCTCAGAAGCACGATGATTTCCATGATTTTGGACGCCACTCTCAAAACAAAACGCCGTTTCGCGTGAGACATCCCCACAGCAGTGAAGCCCGACGTATTCAAAGTTCTCGTCATATTATTCAGAGTGGCAGTTTCGCTTGAGGCATCATCTATAGATTGGCTGCGGAGCTCCTTTTCAACTGCACTCGCAAGATGTGGAACACCGTCTTGCTTCGCACACATCGCAAGGTGTGGCAAGCCCACCTACGGTCGACTGCGATCCCGTTGTTGCCTTCTTCCCCCAGCCCCCTGGTGATCATCAGTATCTTCCTTCTCTCCGTTTTCCTCTGCTTCTCCATCTCCTTCTTCCTCCTTGGATCTGGCCTCATAGTCCTTCCTCATCTTGTCAACCTGTTGCGATGCGTACGTGCCGCATTTTTTGTATGAGTCTGGGCACGCACGTGCCACTTGTACCCAACTCGATGTATGCATAGGTACAAATGAATACGTACGCATATATGCACATACATATATACACGTAACCTACCCAGAAAGCCATACACATGTGTGTTGGCATCGGGACTCCTACGCGGCGGCTGAACCCGGAAGGGTCCAATGGTTTGGTGTTTACCACATGTCTCCGGATTCTAGGGGATCTGCAATGCTTTACCACTGGAAGTTAGATGGGACAATCTGCCTCCGAATGTCAGATATGCATATACGCGAATCAATCCACAGTTCGTTACTTTCCAGATCTGGTTTGATAAAGTCGCGTTCGGATTATAGATACGGGGCACATTTGTACACGGCATGTGGGATGTTTGTTTATTAGTGGCAATCCCGCTTCTGTGTACACAAATAAGTGTTCAGGGAAAGAGAGTGCGGAACATTGCGATCATAACGATCATGGCGATGGGGCTAATGAGGAGGGTGAGGACTGGGTACCAGCAGTGATTCCTTTTAGAAGGGATGGGGAAGAAATGGGTGGGCGAGGTCGACAGACACAAAAAGGAGGAGGGGGCGCAGGAGAAGAGCCCTTGTCCCCGCTTCCTGCTATTCTTCATTACCGTCTTTATTTTTTCCCTACCTAGGCTCTGCCTAGAAGGCTTCTTACTCTGTAGCTTAAAGGGGCCGGGCAGTGGAAAGCGCCCCGGGCGGTTCCCCCAGTCCCCTGGGAGCCAAGCAAAAGCAACAGCAAAGGTAAAAGCAAACGCGCGGTTCGCCCAGTTGCGCTCCCTGGGTGCCAAGCAACAGCAAACGCAAAGGCAAAAGTGAGGGCAAAAGCGAAGGCAAAGCAAAAGCATAGCATAGCATAGCATAGCATAGCGCAGCATAGCATAGCGCAGCATAGCATAGCCTAGCCTAGCCTAGCCTAGCCCAGCATAGCATTGCGCAGCATAGCAGAGCAGAGCAGAGCAGAGCAGAGCAGAGCATAGCATAGCGCAGCGCAGCGCAGCATAGCATAGCATAGCGCAGCACAGCATCCACTACTGCTACAACTACGGCGATGAGGAGAAGGAGGAGGACGGCGTTTACCGCTCCTACTAATGTTGCTTTCCTAGAGGCTCCAACTCCGAGGTAGGGTCGCACTGGGATAATTCTTCTCATTGTTCCTCCTCTGCTGCCTTCTCGCTGCACCTCCTTATCATTGCGCATCGTTCGATCTATATTGGCGAGAACACTACGTACTTTCGTTCGCTGTCCCAAAAGCGCTGCCCTGAGAACCATTCTCCTGTCCCGCCCCGCCGCGGGCGCTGCAGCTCGCCGCGGCGCCCGGTGGCGGGGCGGGTTGTGCCGGGTTCGGGGGTGCGTTCGGGGGGGGGGGCTTGCTTCAGGTCTCCCTGCGCTTTGTGGCCTCCGTCTTCTTCCTCTTCATTGGCTTTTCTCCCTGCGGTGGTAAAGATGGCCCCGCTCGCGGCGCGCGGCGCTTCGGCGCGCGCCAGCCTAATCGCGGAGGGTCGGCGCGCCAGGCGGGGCTCGCTCGCCGTCACGCCGCTGTGGCGGTCTTGTTCTGTTTAGGGCCCACGTCGTCCGAGGTGTTGTTTCGCTCGCTCCTGGAGCGCAGCAGCGCCATACGGCCATTTTTGCGGGAGGACGCGAACTCGTCTTCGATCCACGAGGGCGCAGTAGCCGACGCGGCAATGTCGCGGATGACCGCTCTTGTTCCTTTGGCCAAAGTGGACTCATCAAAGGTCGCTTGTTTTCGATGTTTTCGGTTGTGCAGGGCGTCAACGCGGATGGGGCGCCCAAGATCCACGTCGTGCGCGGTGAGTCCAGGGGAGGCATCAAACCGGCGCGCCAGGCAGCCCAGAAGATGCAGTTGGACGGTGCAGACATTCTAGTGAACGTTTTGGGCTGTTTTCTTAACCAGCACGGGCACGCACCGCTTCTGTTCAAGGCCGACATCGACTTCCCTTATCGGCGCGGTCCCATTGTTCCTGACCAAAGGTTTCCTGGATTGTTATTATTTCGATATGTTCTGCTTTGTGGGCTCCAGGATCGTGTTCAGCAGGGCCCATACGCCCGCGGAGTCGCTGTCGGCCTTGCTCTTGCGCGCTGCTTACAGCAAGCATGTGCACGACAGGACCACCTTGGTTCACTTGCCATTTAGCGATGATGCTCGGCGCGCTGGCAGCCTCTTTCGAATGATACCGAGCGGGGCCGCCCTGGCGCATGTGGTCCGCAAGCTCTTGACGATTCCCGCCCCCAGATAGGCGGGCGATTTTCTGGTCCGCGCGCACCCACAACAGAGGAGTATGTCATGGCATCGCTGGCTAGATTCGTGCACCTGCCCCTGGGCCCGCGAGCGGTATCCGACGTAAAGTTGGAGCGTGGCGACATGCTTGAGATTTTCGGCCTGCATGCGTCATTCTCCCCCGCTGGGATCAGGTCGTTCCCCGTGTCCGAGAACGCGCGCAAGTGGCTGTTCTCAAATAGGCGGGCGCCCGGCAGCGGGGCATCACGCGAGGACCAAGCCAGCAAGTTGGCCGGTGCTCCCAGCCTGGCCGGGCAGAACTATTTCGAAGAGTTCGGGCGAGCGACGTTGCAGCCTTTGTTCGCGCGGCAGAGTTTGCGACGCGGCGTCTTTCGCGCGCCGCTGAATCTGGCGCTATCTCGGCGGGCAGAAGCGCTGGGCCTCGGCGCCCATCGGGCCAAGCCGCGGGCGCACCTCGACCGGCAGGAGCGCACTTGTTCGCCGATGCAAGAGACGGGTCCGAGCCGCAGCTCGCCGTTGCGCCGTTGGTTGGCGGTCGCGCCTTTTGGTCTGGCGCACCTCCAGAAGAAGGGCGGCCGAGGGGCCTGGCGCCTCGCAGGGGTGGTTAGATCGCGGCGCAAGAGCTGCTGGCAGTAACGTTGGGATAAGCTTCCTTCTGCGAGCTGCCGCCCGACCGCCGAGTGGCGACTTGTTCCGACAGCGTGGGCGCAGAAAAAGCAGCTCGTGGCGGTCGCGCCTCTGACTGGTGCCATTCGCGCATGTGTCACGCGACGTGGCACCCTTTGCGCGCGCAAGGTGCTCGCCGCGGTGCGCGAGAGCGCCGTCAGCACAGAGTATTGCCGACCTTCCGTCGTCGCGGATGTCGGGTGCGGACTTCGCGGCGCCGCCATTGCGCGCGGCGGATTTCTTCGCCCCGAGACGTCCTTGGCCCGCGCTCTCGCGGCGAGAGCGCGCCGAAACGCGACGTTGCGCAGCGGGGGCGCCGCTGCGCGTCGGAGGCCGCGAGGACGCGCTCGACGGGGCCGCTGCCCCATCTAGCCCGTGGCGAGCCAAGCCTCGCGCGCGCTGGCGATGGGGTCCGCGCGCGTTGATGCGCAGATCTGCAGTCGATTGTCGCGTCGCTGGTTGGCCCCGTGGTAGCTGACCATTGCATCCTGAAGTCTATCACGCGATCCGAGCTCGGCCAGCGGCGGGCGCTCGCCCCGGCAACGGCCGCGTCGCTGCCTCACGAGGTCCGCAGCATCTTGCCCGAGCTTGCACCTTTGAAATCGCTGCACGGATCGCTTTTTTGTTTGTGTGTGTGGTGTGTGTGTGTGTGTGTGTGTGTGTGTGTGTGTGTGTGTGTGTGTGTGTGTGTGTGTGTGTGTGTGTGTGTGTGTGTGTGTGTGTGTGTGTGTGTGTGTGTGTGTGTGTGTGTGTGTGTGTGTGTGTGTGTGTGTGTGTGTGTGTGTGTGTGTGTGTGTGTGTGTGTGTGTGTGTGTGTGTGTGTGTGTGTGTGTGTGTGTGTGTGTGTGTGTGTGTGTGTGTGTGTGTGTGTGTGTGTGTTTGTGTGTGTTTCCCCCGCTTGTTTTGTTTTTCTCCTCCCGCGGCGCGACATTTGGCAGCCGCGAGATCTGCGGCCCGCGCGCGCCGTTTGGCGCGAGCCCGCCCCTGACCGCAGACAGCGGACGCGAGGCGTCAGCCCCGACGCCCTGCGCGGACGGACTGTCGGCGTCAGCTGACGAGGCCAAGAAGCTGCCTGCTGCCACGCGCAGCGCGACGGGCGAGCATTCGCCCGCGCCAGACCTTGGCATCGCTCGGACGTGTGCATTTTTTCCTCGGTGGGGACCGTCGAG